AGAGGGCAACACATTACAGATACGTGGCCTCCAAAACAGAATTGTAATGCTGAAATTGTTATGTGACGTATATGAAACAAATATGCAATGTTATATTAATGTAGGATACATTATGTTACCTGATATTAAGTGTGTTTATTGCGTGCACAAACTATAATCTTTGTGTTTTGCAGGGTATATTCATCACATAAATCTGTTTAAACAACTGAATATTTCACCCAAAAGAGAGTGAAACTGTGTGTATTTTACATATCTTAGCATCATCTGAGGGTGTTTTACCTGCAATGGCAACACAGTTTTGCCCTTTTTTATGAGACTCGAAAGTAATACAAAATAATTTCATCTAGTATCATGGGAATTTTTAATAATGCATGTTAAGTTAAAAAGCGATAATTGCATAATGTTGCCTTTAGAAATTGTACAGTTACATACAACATGGTTGTTTCACACTTTAAAAAAACAAGACTAAAGTCAAACCGTCTGCTGAGTTACATAAAAACGTATTGCATACCTTTAAAGGAGAACTCTGGCGCAAAATGAACCTTTGGTCTAATAAAACATTGGTACCTAGTCAACTGTTATCTGAGATTTGTTTTCATGATAATCGAATGTAAAGAGTTTTATCTCTAAAAACTGTTTAGCGTATAACGCTAGTAATGGGGGCATTTAATAAGTAAAAAGAAATCGCTAGTTAATACCACTAACAAGGCTCAAAATAGCCCCACACGAACACAGTAACATAATGAGGGTCCCTACATGCAAAACGAAGCATTGAGAACTTTGTAAGTGTACAGACCGTTTAATAAGAAGATAAAGATAAAGACAGTCCACTTCGTATATACAGACAGGAGCCATCTTTGGAAAACAGTCTCGACTAATCAAACCACGAACACCATTCATACAGTTCAGCTCACTTAGCACGTCGTTCGTGGTTTGATTAGTCGAGACTGTTTTCCAAAGATGGCTCCTGTCTGTATACACGAAGTGGACTGTCTTTATCTTTATCTTCTTATTAAACGGTCTGTACACTTACAAAGTTCTCAATGCTTCGTTTTGCATGTAGGGACCCTCATTATGTTACTGTGTTCGTGTGGGGCTATTTTGAGCCTGTTAGTGGTATAAACTAGCGATTTCTTTTTACTTATTACATGCCCCCATTACTAGCGTTATACGCTAAACAGTTTTTAGAGATAAAACTCTTTACATTCGATTATCATGAAAACAAATCTCAGAGAACGGTTGACTAGGTACCAATGTTTTATTAGACCAAAGGTTCATTTTGCGCCGGAGTTCTCCTTTAATAGCACTGTAAAGCCTGCACTTAAATGTAATTTTTACATTTACATCGCTGTATTGTAGCAGTGGAAGCGTTATAGACCTTTGGGGATTCTTAGAGTTTATATGTGTTCTTATATCAATAAATTTCAATGATAGAAAAAATAAAAATAAAAAAATAAGATTCCACAGAATGTCAAAGGCATCAAACAGATTTATATACACACAGATGAGCTAAAACATTCTGACACCTGCCTAATATGCTGTGGGTCCACCTGGTGCTGCCAAACCATAAAGAGTCCTGAAGGCGTCCTGTGGTCTCTGTGGTTTCTGGCACCAAGATGTCAGAACAACAAGTCCTGTCGGTTATGCGACGTGGAGCCGCCGTGGATCAAACTTGACGGTCCAGCAATTGGATTGAGATCTAGGTAATTTGGAGGCCAGAGCAACAGCTTGAACTCTTCATCATGTTCCTCAAACATCAGTGTGTGTCAGAGTGTGTTATCCTGCTGAAAGAGCCACTTCCACCATTATCATGAAGGGCTGTTCCTGCTCTGCTACGACGTTCAGGGACACGTGTAAAATATACGTCCACATGAATGGCCGGACCCAGCAGAACATGCTCAGAGCTTCACACTCCCTCAGTGATCCTGGTGCATCACTTCTCCAGGTGAACGGCCGTCCACGAGATGTAAACGGGACTCATCGGCCCAGGCGACCTTCTTCCACCGCTTCAGGTCCAGTTCTGATGCTCATGTGCTCTTTCAGTGGTGGACGAGGTCATCATAATCACTCGGATTGGTCTACACAGCCTCATACACACCAGAGTGAGATGCACTGTGTGTTCTGACACATTCCTCCCATAACCATCATTACAATTTGTGACTTTTGGCTCGGACCAGACGGGAATCCTTATTTTCTTCACCTGTGACTAGTCATAATGTTTTGGCTCACCAGTATATATATATATATATATTTGGGCTGTCAAACGATTAATCGCGATTAATCGCATCCAAAATAAAAGTTTGTGTTTACATAATATATGTGTGTGTACTGTGTATAATTATTTTTAATACATAAATACATATTTAAGAAATATTTGCATGTATATACTGTATATAGACAGAATGTAGCCTATATATATAATGTATATTTTATATAAATATAAACATTTTATATATAAATGACATATTTTTCTTAAATATGTACATGTGTGCATTTATATACAAAATAATTATACACAGTACACACACATATATTATGTAAACACAAACTTTTATTTTGGATGGGATTGATCGTGATTAATCATTTGACAGTCCTAATATATATATATGTGTGTGTGTGTGTGTGTGTGTGTGATATTGTGGGAATTTATATCAAGGTTGACATTCAGTTGTTATTAACTGTTACTTTCTAGGTGAGCTTTCACTTCAATAACAGGGTTGAAACGAAAGGGGTCAAACTGTGTAAACCACTGGCATTATGTATTTTACTCTTATGTGCGTCATAAAGCAGTATCGACCCAAAAGTAAACACTACATGTGATTATCCTTGTTTACTTTACAGGGGATCTCCCCCCGTAGCTCAAAATACTCCAATGCACAACTTCACTCATTTGTGAAGAAGTGATTCAAGAACAACATATCCGTGGCCGACCCCATAAAATACTTTTTATAGCTATTTTTAGGCTTTTTGCCTTTTATTTAGATAGGACAGTTGGTGGACAGACAGGAAATCATGGGAGACGAGAGAGGGGAATTGGACCGGGAAAGGTCCTCGATCTGGGACTTGAACTTGGGTCTCCGAAGTGCAAGCGCACCATACAGTATGTCGAAGCACTCGCCCACACGGCTATCAATACTTCTGTCACGATTTCACATCCCTGTTTGCTTGTTTCAATGTGGAAGCATTACAAAATACATCCAGATAAGGACCTCGGATCTATTGGCTCTGTATCACATAATCAAATATGCATAATGTTCATGCACAGCCTAGTGGGTTTGGTTGGAACTGCGCATCTTTCATGAATAAAAGTGTGATCATTAGATCATAGAGGCTGTGTGTGATTTACAGTGTTCCTCTTTATACTGGAAACTGAATGACAGCATAGGTCAGCATTCAGACTTACATCACTTCCTCTGCAGATTTACAGCACAAAGCCAAGCTTTCAAAGTGATGTGACATCACTGAATACTTCTAATAATGAATATACATATCTGTCACAAAAATTATGAGATAATGCATTCTAGGGGTAACTGTGACTCAGCCTAACAAAAGCAGCATTCATTAATTTATTACTTAATGTTTTGTATGTTATAAAGTCTTTTGTTTAGGTTTTGCTTGCTATTACCGTTTTGAAATATAATATAAGCTATAACATCCATCATTTCACTTACACTTAGCCTAAACCATTTTATGTGTTGAACACAAGCTCTGCTGACATCAGTGCAATTAAGTCTTCTTAATTGACAATTAATTAAACGTTTGAACTGAAAGTATATTTTTATCAATAAGAATAAAATCGCCAAAGTGCAGCGATCACACAGCGCCACCTAGCGACCACTACAACTAATTTGAATTGCAACCCAGCAACGTTCTAATTTCGAATTTTAGAACAATTTTCAAAACGATTTTGTCACATAAAGACTTATGATTAAGAGGGAACATAATTTGAAGCTGCTCCTTTAGGCCTGGATATTTTATGCAAGATTTACATCATGTCTACAAGACGTTTTTAAAGACAGCATTTTCTAGAATGGGACTATTTAGGCTATCTTCTCTGCAATTCACAAAACACAATATGTAAAAATAAATTAAAATATATAAATAAAAAAATATAGTAAATACATTATATTACGTTAAGTCTACTTGTGTCTAATGCGCATGTGCATAACAGTTAAAGAGTTTCACGTGTTTTTTCCGATTTAAAATGGGTAACTGGTGCTCATTTCCACCTTCATCGGATAAGTGAATATGTTGAAAATGCAGATCATAACAGATTTATTAAAATAGCCCATGCACTTTCGCTATTTTTGTGGGGCTTGTCATTAACTATGGTGACTGTAAAAGAAAAACGTCTCATTTAATTCATTATTTAGCCTAAATAAAAAATAATCAGTGAAGCGATTTTATTTCAAAATATTATTAATAAATAGATCCAGAATAAATAAATTGATCCAGTTCATCTGCAGAAACATAAATTAATTTAGGCTAAATTATTTAATTTTCACTTTGCAATTTCACCGATTGGCTAACGCGTTTAGTCATTATAGGCTACCATGTTTGTGGAAAATGCTAGAATGTTTAAAAAAATAAAAAAATAAAAAAACATTAACAAAGATTGTCGATTAGCCATTGATAGGCTATAACCTAGTCCATTTTCACAAGTGAAAAGATTCAAAAACATGTCAACAAACAGTCCTTAACCAATGTTGTTAACTTTCTTATTAACATATAGACCTATTGTTAAACGTTTTTGTTTTTTAAAGATAGCTATAATTTTTCATCAAACGCAGTTCGAAAGTATAACTCTTTTGCACACTAACTCGAAATGTCTTTCTGAAATATGAGGAAGATTATTTTAAATTAAAGCGTTATGCATTAAAGATGCATCATAATAAAACAATAACATGGTGCATTTTGCTGATTTATTCAGTCTTCCTCGTCTGTTGGATGTCCAGCGGGGTGTGTTACCTTGTTCTCAGAACTGCCAAAGAGGGGAAATGCTTATCGATCGATCTGATAAGAGGACAATTTAAAGGCCAGTCGCAGAGCATTGCGCCAAAACAGAACAATACAAAGGAGATAGAGTGTGCAGGCTTCATATGCAGAACAAGACTATTGCAGATAACTCTTAATAATGCTCCTCTTACTCGTTGTCACTGTGTGTGGAAGCAGCATCGGCGTGGAGAGCCTCCCGTTGCCCGACTCTGGCCCACATCTGGCGAATGACTGGGGAGAAGCGGTCCGGCTGCGACATCTGTACGCGGCCCGGCGAGGTTTACATCTGCAGATTCACACAGACGGAGACATCAGCGGATCGCGCACGCAGAGCTCGGACAGTAAGTCACAGCATGCAGATTACTGACGCTTCACGCAGTCGCTATATGGGTCAATGACACATGAGGATGTCCGAGATGACAAAGAGGAGAACTCTTTTTAAAAACACTATTTAAAACACGTGCGTTCATTTCTTTAGAAGTATTTTTTTTTAAATGGTTGATTTCCATAATAATAATAATAAAAAAAACATGCTACATAGTTCGAAATGTCAAGTGGTGCAACCATCACATAAAAAAATAGACAAAAAATAGACAAAAAAAATTGTAAAAAACATGCTACATAGTTCGAAATGTCAAGTGGTGCAACCATCACATAAATTTTTTTACAAAAAAATTGTAAAAAACATGCTACATAGTTCGATATGTCAAGTGGTGCAACCATCACATAGAAAAAATCTACAATTTTTTTTTAAATATATAAAAAAGTTATGGCTACATGTTATTACCGGCATGCAGATTACTGACGCTTCACGCAGTCGCTATATAGGTCAATGGCACATGAGGATGTCCGAGATGACAAAGAGGAGAACTCTTTTTAAAAACACTATTTAAAACACGTGCGTTCATTTCTTTAGAAGTATTTTTTTTAGTTATGTTGATTTCTATCATAATAATAAAAAACATGCTACATAGTTCGAAATGTCAAGTGGTGCAACCATCACATAAAAAATATACAAAAAATATACAAAAAATTTGTAAAAAACATGCTACATAGTTCGAACTGTCAAGTGGTGCAACCATCACATAAAAAAATATACAAAAAAATTGTAAAATATACAAAAAGGTTATGGCTACATGTTATTACCGTACATTGCTTTAACTCATCAAAATAAGTTAGGCAATTTCAACTTTTTTAATGAGTTATACAAATTTAAAAAAAACAAACAATTAAAGTCAGTTTAAGTTGAAATGTCTTAAACATCCAAGTTGATTGTACTTAAAAATTTAAGGCAGCAACTTTGTTTTTTTTACAGTGTATACAAGATATATATATATATATATATATATATATATATATATATATATATATATATAATATATTAACTATATTATATTCCGTCGTGATCTTTTAGGGTTAGTCCATTTAACCTGAACAAAATGTATGTATTATATTTGATATTAAAAACACATTTATTTCCAGCCATGCAATATGATTTTTTTCTTTATTTCATCTGCACATATATGTTTTACTTTAAACTTTAAACACAAACATCAAAATGACTGAGTTTTAGTCAAAGATGTACTTATTTCTTTCTATGAATTGCATTTATTATTATTTTTTAGGCAAAAAAAATACGTCACTGTCGGATGTCATGCATTATTATATTAAAATATATAGGCTATATTATAATTTTTACAACGTGCACTATGCATTTTCTGTATGTGATGCAAATATCACCATTGCAACTGCAACTTCAATTCATATCAGCCTATTCATGACAAATATGTCAGTAATGTGTAAAATCTGATTTTCAGCAAAACATCTTTATATATATATATATATATATATATATATATATATATATATATATATATATATATATATATATATGTGATTCTTTAATTTTATTGCAATCAATAAAAATGGTATTTTGTTTCCTAAAGGTTTGGTTGAGATAAGTCCGGTGGACACAGGCAGTGTTGCCATTAAAGGAGTTGCAAGCTCCCGATTTCTCTGCATGGACAGAAGAGGGAAACTCTATGGATCGGTAGGTCTGACAATCAGAAATAATAGATGTATAACAAAGATGTGCATTCTTAAAAAGTAAGCTTCTTTATTTGCATTAACAGTTGTATTTATTGAACAAGCTATTTGAACACTGGCGGTTCTAGGGGCCGTTCACACAGAACCACTGCTACATTTCCAGCGTTTTCCAACAAACATGCGCTAGACGGACGCATTTAACCATTGAGCTTTTGCAGCATCTCGCGCATGACACGCAAACAACTTTTAAACTGTATGTGTGAAGGTTGCTGATTTTGCTTTGTTTTTTGACACGCGTATGCACTTACAGAATAGCATTCTTGGAACCTAATAGGCTACTAATAGTAGGCCTAAAGAAAATCAGACACTTTTACAATTTCCTTCACAAAATTGCTTCAGAGTGCACGATTTTGATTCCTCACCACAAGATGATATCCACTATTTCAAAAACAGTAGAGGTGAGGTAGAATGTGTAGACACATGAGGCTATGTGTTTAGATCGTCTCCTTTTAGAACAGTGATGTGCATATTGCAATAATTTTATTCTTAGAGAGTGCAACATTGGCACTCTGCCACCAATCATAACAAAACTACACACATTCGTCAGAGACAGATAACCTTGTTGTGCTAAGGTCACCTCGCGATGTCCTCTATGACTGAGGAAGTGTAGACAAGCCGATTTCGCCACAGACATCTAAGCTCTGTTGACATTATGTTCTGGTCATGGGTCATTCCTCCCATCTGACGTTAAAACCCAAGAACATTATAGGGCAGGACCATCAATGCATATACATATACACAGTCATCATCATGCATATAGCCAAACTCCAAAATGAATATGAGTTAAGAGTAAATATCTTGGTTATCTGTCCTTCTCTATTAAATACTGAACTGAAATGTGTAATACGTGCCTAGCCAAAATGATCACAATTGATAAATAGTGCAAAGTATGGTTTGAGTGCTTGACTTCTCGTTTTACTTGATTGACCAGAACATACAAAAAATGATTCTGTCCAGATAGGCTGATTTGAGTGGTGTCATTGCAGCAACCTTTGCCCATGGCGGGGTATGTTTGCATAGCTAAAACCTCATTGAAAAGAAACAGCAATAACAACCTTGGCCTCTCCATGTGGTGCAAACAGCTATCAATAAACCTTAAACACTCGCAGGGCAGGGCAGGTCCATGACACATCCATATTGTGATTTTATGCAGAAAAAAAGCGTTCGGTTTTCATGTTTTTGCCGTTTCTTTTGTTTGCCAGCACACTTACTCTAAGGAGGACTGCTCTTTTCTGGAACGCATCCTTCCAGACGGCTACAACATCTACATCTCGTGCAACTATGGAGTCCTTGTGAATTTGGCTAAGCTGCACAGTAACGAGGGGACTGCAACATCCCAGTTTCTGCCCATGGTGAACACACTTTCTCAGGACCCCACCGGACGCCACTCAGGGGAACAGCGCTCTCCCGCCGGCCCCGGACAGGACCATCAGTTAGGCCTTCAGATAGACAGTATGGACCCTTTTGGAAAGATCTCTCAGATTGTGATCCAGAGTCCCAGTTTCAACAAAAGATGAGGAGTGAACAATCACTTGCGGATGTTTTAAGGAAACGACCCCGAGGTCGAGAAGCAGAATGAGCACAGACTCTCAGAAAGAGCTGGAAAGTCCAGTAAAAAGAAAACTGTGTTAAAGACAGCACACAAACAACAAGAAAATCACTCCAAATGTGAATGGTGCATCACCTGAAGCATACATTTATTTATTTTTCTAGTTTTCTTTGTGATGACCTTGCTCTCTAATTATTGTTTAAAATTGTATAGTCAACACATGCACTGTAAAAAATATTTTATATCTTTTGTATTCCTTTTTTATACAGTTATTCTGAAAGATGACATTCTACAATGGTCATATAAATTACTTTGAATTGCTTAAATGTGGTTAAATGGTTTTCTTACTAATAAGACAGACGTTTTTAATTATTAAATATAAGCATCATCTCTTCCTCTTTCATTAGCAAGACTTAAAATGTATATTTTTTTCGTGATACTGTTGAGACTGCATGATATTGCAAGGCAGGCTACTTACAGAAAATACTGATAAATATTGTAACGGTTTGTGGGCCTGAGAGACAGCAGAATATATTCCCACGTGTCCTTGCATGATGCCCTTACAATATTCACAGGAAGGTTTTTGTAACGCTGTGGCTCCCTCTACTGGCAAAGAAGTGATTTGCATTTTGAGATAATGGTGTTAAAGGGTTATTAGTTCACCATAAAATGAACATTTTGTCATCATTTACTCACCCTCATGTTGTTCCAAACCTGCATGAGTTTCTTTCTTCTGATGAACATAAAAGAAGATGTTTTGAAGAATGTCGGTAAGCAAACAGTTTCTGGACCCCATTGACTTTCATAGTATTTTTATTTCCCAATGGAAGTCAACGGGGACGAACAACTGTTTGGTTACCAGCATTCTTCAAAATATCTTCTTTTATGTTACACACAGGAAAGAAACTTATACAGGTTTGAAACAACAAAAGGGTGAGGAAATGATGACAGCATTTTCCTTTTTGGGTGAATCCCTTTAAATAGACGAAAGTGCCTTTTCAACTACTCAATCTCAAGTCACTCAGAGCCCATGCATGTATAGAGAAGAGGAAACATGAGAGACGGCCTACAGAGAAATACGTGTCACAAAAGAGATACCCCGATAATATATACAACAGTGTAAAGTAGCCAACTGTCTGCTATCATAACTCTCTGATACTGTAATGTCAGCTTTGGGCCCATTGCTTATCACTATGTAGTGCAAGCACACAAACTACATGTATTAATGACTTGAATTGTTTTAGAAGTAAGTGCCTCTATATTTTTTTATTGTAGGGTAACCTAAGTAGTTTTTATTTTTATTTTTTTTTACTTTTGCTGTACTGCTAAAATACTTACCAGAGCATGTGATTTTTTTGTTAGTCATGTAGGCTAATGTCTTTATCTATCTACAAACAAAATAAAATAAAATGTACATAAATAATTCACATTTTCCACAATTAATTGTTGTAGACTATAGGAGCAATGCCGGGCTCATTTGAACATGCAAAAATAGATTTGTAAGCCTAAATTTAAGTGAAATATGCTGACATATTTTATACTCTTGATTGTTTTCAAATATTTTTAAGTATCCATGTGCACAGGGCCTAAAATGAACAATCGCCACCGAATATATGAAAAGGTGTCAATTGCTAATTGGATGGGGACGCATGGGACAGTTGTTGGGACATCATCACAGAAGTTTAAGCCTTGCCTTAAATATACAAGCACAAGAAGAGCTAAAGGGAACTCAATTCAATACTCACACACGGCAAACATCCTAATAATAACTGCATCCTAATAATCCTGCACTGTGTCGTTAATGTTAATCAAACAACAAAAGAAAAAGAGAAATCACTCTCTGCTCTTGTCTGAATAACTTTTTAAACTTTAATATGCATTATGTTAAATGTATACAGTGAAGATAAAGCAATGTTATTTTACATTTGATTAGCCTACTTTATTAAATGTCTGCACCTGAAAACTACCGTTAGACCTTTCCTGAAAGCACAGTTTATTTCAGTTGTATCTTTGTTGTGTTGTAGCCTATTTGTTTGTGCTGTTACTGTTTATTTCTCTTTAATAATGTTTCAAACTAGGCTAGTTTTAGCTGTGGTATCCAAACTGAAATAGAGAATTGTGACTTTTCACTGTTATCTAAGATTTACATGTCATATGTTTCATGGTCGGTAAAAAATATTAATGGTCGGTAATAAACATATAGGCCAAGTCACCGGCCTTTCAATAGGCCTGCATAAGTGGCAGTGCTATGGTTTTGTGACTTAAATACGCTGTAATCATTTTCACAGTGGTGTCAGATATACAGTAGGCTAGGCCTATACACTGTCCCATAATTAATACAGTTAAATATGAGACCACATATTGTATATCTTCCCTAAAATTTTGATCCCTTAACAACTGATTTCCTGAGCGAACAAGCATGCTAGCATGTCCCAAAAAACATTAAATTGAAGAACTCAAATTACTAATTAAAACATTAACAGTTAATTTACATTAATTTACATGTCTTAACATGATAAGACATATAGAATACTATATTACTTACTTTAAATATTTATGATATTAACCTTGGCTTAGTTTTGCTTCCCTTCCAGAAGACGGCGCCGTAGTTCATTCACATCATTACCAACATCCGGACAACTGGAACGAAGAAGAAGAAGAAGAAGAGAGATTCCGTCAGGAAAGACTTCGGGATAGATAACCAAATCGAAAAAAATGGCTTTTGTGTCCAATGGTGATGATTTATTTGACCCCATTATCATGGCCGATAACAGGTAAAACCACCGATAAACAGAAACAACTGCTGCGTCACGTGATAGTGCCTTCGTTTCTCTCAGTAGTTCAGTGTGTCAGTGGGTTTAGTTCAGTTCAGTCACTGACCGTCACTGTAAATTATTTTAAAATGTGTTTAGACTCATAAATGCTCTCTTGTTTTAGGTTTCATGTAGAAGGTTATCAGGAAGGGTTTGAGGAGGGAACTCGACAGGGAACCATCGAGGGTCGAAACCACGGGCGGCTGCACGGAGCCAAACTCAGTGCTGAGGTGAAGTATGGACTAATACACACATGATGATGGCATATTCAGTGGCTTTACATTGAAGAAATATCACCTTTAGGACGCTAGCAATAAATCTCTTTACAGGTTTCACATCTTTTCAGTATTCATATTGACTGACTCTTCTGGAAAAGCAGTGTCAGGGGTTTTCTCTTGTGTTATTATTACAATGGCTTTTGAACAGGCAGCTGACAGACATCAGTGACTGACAGCAGTGATTCATCTAACACTTTTTACATCAATATAGTTGTTATTAATATAGATTTTAATTTCCTTTGTCTCTTTTCTTATTTCATATTATTATTATTCATGGAATTTATTGAGAAACATCAAAAATATCTACAATACTACCAGTCAAATGTTACTGTTTTTTTTTATTCAATAAGTCTCTTAAGCTCACCAAGGCAACATTTATTTGATGACAAATACAGTTAAAATTGTAGTCGATATAATTAATATATTTACAAATGTAATTCATTACTGAATTTTCAGCACCATTAGCCTACTCCAGTCTTCATGATCCTTCAGAAATCATTCCAATATGCTGATTTGATGTTCAAGAAACATTTCTGATAATTATCAATGCTGAAAACTGTTTTTGCTGCATAATATTTTTGACCATGATAGACTACAATTCAAAAGTTTGGGGTAAGTACAATAAATAACTTTTATTCAACAAGGATGCATTAAATTAATAAGACCAATTTATAATGTTACAAACGGTTTCTATTTCAAATTCTTTTGAAATGTTTATTCATCAAAGAATCCTGAAAAAAGAAATCATGTTTCCACAAAAATAGTAAGCAATAAGAACTGTTTTAATAGATAACTGATCATAATATAGGCCTTATTAATAATCAAGAACCAATAATAATTGAGCAACAAATCAGCATATTAGACTGATTTCTGAAGGATTATGTGACACTGAAGAAAGTTATTTTTAATTGTAATAATATTTCACAATCTAACCCAATATTTCAAATGATTCAATTACTGTATTGAATCATCATTAAATGCAGCCTTGATGTGCAGAATAAAATCTTAATTATTCCAAACGTTTGACTGTTACTGTCTATTGAATTAAAAGTGTGTGCAGAACATGGAATAAATACAGTTTTATGCATCACATTTGTATGCAAACTTTAATAAACTTTTGCATTAAATGTTCTATTTTTCCAGGTGTCTTTTTATAATGGATTTGCTCTTGCATGGAAATGTCTCCTTCAAAATGACAGTGATGTTAAAGCGAGGTATGTTCCGCAAGACACAACGAAGGAAACGAAACAAATGATTCTTCTGCCTGCTAACTTTCAGAGTTTCTCCTAGGAAAAGGCTGAAAGCTATGGAGTCTTTGATCGGAGTGATCCAGAACTTCCCATACGAAGACCCTCAGTATGAGAAACTCCAAGAGGACATGGAAAGAGTGCGTGCCAAATTTAGACAGGTAATCTCTTTAACCATTTCGCACTTTCTTTTTGTTTTTCAAATTAAGAATATATATTGTATTCATTAAAATGACATCTACCTAACACATCTCACCTCTACAGGTGTGCTCTTTACTGAACGTGTCAGCAGACTTTAGAGAATATATAGGTGGATCAACAGGAATGTCTTTCTGAGACTACAGGAGTCTTCCAGCAGTCGTGGCAAACTCATGATGATCATCTGCAGACGCCGCCGCTCGAGATGAGGCAGCTTTTGGTGTTCACATGCAGTGTGTACAGCTGTGGACCGTCATCACTCTCACTGGAGTCGTACGGCAGTTCTTAATGCTGAATTCTAGACAACACTCAATAGAGTTTGAGTGGTATTCTTAGGAGTTTGGTGGTTTTAAAGGGTGAAATAGCAATGGCAGTCACTGTCGTATACAAGACAAACCAAAGTCACTGTCTTTATAAGAATATTCCATCTTGCAAAATTATTTAAAATATTTTTAACCCTTCCAGAGTGCAGAAGAAGGACTTTAATCTGTTCACAAAGTGTATTTATGCATCTTTAATGGACAGTGCTGTTCAAAGAACTCCATCTTGTGGTGAAATTGGAGAATTGTTCTTGCAGTTATGTGGCTCCGCCTGCTGGTGAACTGCAAGTACAGTAGAATTGTCACTTTTGAATTATAATAACAAATGGATAAACGTAGCACAGACAGTTTTTGCAGGAGATGCTGTACAAGTTTTGACATAAAAGGCTTATTATTAGGGAACAATTATTTTTATCTTTAAAGGAAATGTTTTTTTGTGTAATTGTGTTAAATGATTTTGAACGGAAAGAGATAATAAAGTTAAAAAAATTAAATAAAATGCAATCTTTATTTCAATATAAAATGAATGATACGCATTTGTTGCTTATTTGGTTGTATAGCTGTCTAAATATGATCCTTATATCTTATTGATAACAACTTTTACAAATTATTGTTATTGTTGTTATTAATGCGTGTTCTTGTTACATGTTGTTGGTCCTTTATTAGTTAAAGATGTCTGACCTATTGTATTAAGTCTCCTTTAGATATTTTAATATCTATTTTTGAAGATCATATAATTAAGAGCAGCTGGATTTGAGTGATTTAATATTACACACACACACTCGTTTGCAGAAATCACACCAAGGACGATAACTAAAACGACAAAGATATACTTTTAAAGTCCCCCTGTAGTCAATAATCGTATCTCTGAAACTAATCTTTGATCACCAAAATGACATATTTAAACGTTTTTTTTCCTTGAAAAAAATTCTTCATGCCTTAAAATAGCTTGAATGTAACTCTACACTCTTGCCTCATTTAGTATAAGCCATTCTATGAATATGCAAATGAGCCCCGCCTCCACTCACTCACTCAGCTCAGAGATCCACTCGTTGACGATCACACGTTGATCTGATTGGTTACAAGGTCGTTTGTGACGTCAGAAACACCAGCGATTTCAAACCGTGTTTTTGAGACTGTCTTTGGTTCACTGCAGTTTTAAGGAGAAAATACTCAGCAATGCTGTCGACTTATGAATTTATGGTTTGTCTTAAACCACATTAAAAACACCACATATACATATAAACAACATTAAAAACTTGATTTTCACCACATGGGGACTTTAAAAGTCAGCCAATCAGAATCCACCCTGCACGCACGCTTAGAATAAACAAAAGTTCTCATTATAGTTATCTTGGTGTGAACGGGCCTGTAGTTAACAGCCCTGAATCCTCAGATGTTCCTCGGCTGGGTTCCTCAGCGCTGTTTCAGGGGTGGTCAGCAGAGAGTTTTCCTCCCCTCTCCTGGGCCCAGAACGGGGACAGTTGCTGTGGCCGTAACAATGCAGCAGTGGGGCCCGTGCGAGAGGCCAGGGGGCTGCGCGACGCGGTCTGGTTTTGTTCTGCTCCTCTCACACTTGAAGCCCGAGGTGCAGATCAGAATTCAGGCAGACAGGAGTTGGCAGCGTATTAGAGGGTGTTTCTGGAGATGGCAGCTGGTCTACGCCGTGGGCAGCAGCAGGTAAACACCAGGCTCCTTCTGAGCCCTGACAGATAAAACCCTGCTCTTCCCTGAAGACCTGCTGCTACATCAGTCTTTTTCTGCTGTTTGGAGTCATACAAGGTTTGGTTTAGACATTAATCGGAAGCCAGAACTACACATATTATAAAGTGACCGACACCAAGAAAGTACTGGACACTGAATACCGTTGCATTAGACAATAACATCAAGTGTCCTCTGAGCCATTTTTGCTTTTAAAATTACCACGGAATTAATATGCATAATTCTTACGTTTTTTTATGGAGTGTTGCAGTATTATAAATGATTTAATCTGTGCTCATAATTTTTATTTAATTTTTAATTCATGTGCTCTCGTAATCTTCAAGCAAAATCTCTTCTCTGATGGTGTGTTTACTGCAGTGAGGGCGGGGCAACCTGTCACTCACATGAGATCAACCAATAGCAAAACACAACCATCCAATCAACTCCCAGTTGACAAAATCAAGCCCCGCCCCACATTTGTTCTTGTAGAGAAGCTGTTTCACTAGTAATAGTTCAATAGTAAAGAAAAGACTATCACAACATCCGTTTAATGCCGACTTCAAAACAAGTGGGTGATTTTAGTTGATATACATTATAAAGTCAGTTCTCAAGTTCACTCATAGTTCATCATCACACTAACCATGAATGTGTTCCACTAATGTTTCACAACCACAAAGTGCCAGACTATCTATTGTTTCATCATCCACATCTTTATCATCTTTCTTGAGAAATGTTTTGCTTGAAAACGTGCTTGTTCTGTCCTTCTTTTCTTGGTTTTGGTATCTAATATAATGATTTAAAGGGTTAATTCACTCAAAAAGGAAAATTAGACCATGATTTGCTCAACCTCAAGCTATCCTAGGTGTATATGACTTTCTTCTTTCTGCCAAACACAATCTGAGTTCTATTAAAAAATATCCTGGCTCTTCCAAGCTTTGTAATGGGACATTACATTAGATTTTGAAGCCCAAAAAAGCACATCCATCCATCATAAAAGTGATCCATACGGCTCCAGGGGGGTTAATAAAGCCCGTCTGAAGCGAAGCCATGGGTTTTTGTAAAGGAAATATCCATATTTATAACTTTATAAAGAGTGACCTCTTTTCCACAAACTTTTGGAGCCACTATCCACTTCATTTTGCAACGCTGAAGTAAGCTATTTTAGATGTAAATAACTAAATAACTTTAAATAGTAAGTGCAGTAAACGGTTAAACTATTTGTGCTACAAACCAGTGTGTTTATAATTATGACAACGCATTCAAATAATATGATAACAAATCCCAGTTTGCAATATCAAGCAGCATAACAAGCTATTTTGTACTGCTAAGAATAACTGTAAGCGGAAGCCTCACACATTTAATACACAAATGGCCGCACTTGCTTTTACATTAAAAATAAAGATGGACATACACTACCGTTCAAAAGTTTGGGGTCGGTACGATTTTAAATACTTTTAAAAGAATTCTCCTTTGCTAACCATGGCTGCGCTTATTTGATTAAAAATACCACAAAAATCAGTTATAGTATTAAATATTATTCCAGTGTAAATCAGCTGTTTTCTGTGTGAATATATAGTAAAGTGTAATTTATTCCTGTGATCAAAGCTGAATTTTCAGCATCACCAGTGTCAGTGTCTTCAGTGTCAAATGATCCTTCACAAATCAGTATAATATGAGGATTTGATGCTCAAGAAACATTTATTATTATTATCAATGTTGAAACAGTTGTTGGTCTGTCAGTTGTACAGTTTTTTTTTTTTTAGGATTCTTTGATGAATAGGAAGTTCAAAAGAACAGCATTTGTTTGAAATAGAATCTTTTGTAACATTATAAATGTCTTTACTGTCACTTTCGATCAAATTAAGTATTGATTTCTTTCCTCCAAAAAATAAAATTCTCACTGACCCCAAACTTTTGAACGGTAGTGTATGTTTAAGAAATAGTCATCCACAAATGATAATTCTGTCATCACTTACTCATCCTCAGTCATTCCAAACCTTATTATGAACGAGTGTGTTTTGAGATTGAAATGACATTGATGCCACTGGCTTTCTTTGGTAATATTTTTTTCTCTTCTGCTGAAGAACGAGTCGCACAGGTTTGGAACGACGTGAGGGTGAATAAATGATGCCAGAAAGGGAACTCTCCCTTTAACATTTTGTTTATTCTGCTCAAATATTATGATCTTTATGAGTGGCTGTAGAGTCAGGTGTCTCCATCATTTGTCATGTTTCTCAGATATTGTGTGTGTGAGCGAGGGAGAGACTAATTCCAAATGCAGAACAGAAGAACATGAACTTGGGGGGTGTAAGACAGAGGGCCGAGTCTGTGAAAGAGAGTTAGAGGAGCAATGTTTCTTTGGTTTCCTTTCAGTTGTGGAACAGAGTGGATGGGGCCAGCGAAAGGGAGGGAGGCCGAGAAAATGAAGCAGGACGCTGGAAGGTTTCAGAAAATGTTCAGGAATTTCAGGAGCAGGTGGCGAGTGGTGACATGAAAGGAGGACGTGACAAATGCAACCGACGGGCACTTGAAAAAAAAAAAGGCCCCAAGTTGAATGGTGGCATAGTATCTCCCTTTTTTGCCTTGGTGCCTCATACCCCCCACTCTTTCCCTCACACACACACACACACACACACAAGCTCCAATCTCAGCATTGAGCTGCTCGCTTCCTCACATGGTTCATGATGTGGATGATAAATGCGCAATTCCTATTCACAGCACAGACAAGAAAGGTTCAGCCACTTCACTCAGATGAAGGTGTGTGTGTGTGTGTGTGTGTGTGTGTGTGTGTGTGTTGGGGGGGGGGGGGGGGGGGGCATGAGGGAGGCTGGTCGAGTTTTGGCTAGTCGTCATACTGTACACGCTAAAATAACATTTCACTTCTGATGTAATGATCTCAATGAGCGCTCACAACATGAATCTTCATGGTCGTTTAACACTGATCAGAGTCGCTGTGGACCTGAATATTATCATTTGTGTTTTGAAAATTAATGACGTTTTAAAAAAATATATCTTTGACTCAAATGTGAATGAAATGAGAGATTAGAATTGTAGAAGAACTTCATTATGTCTGTTTCAACTGGAATGATCTATCGTATAATAATCACCAGGATAATGGTGATTTACAGAAATGTTAATCAATGTGCACTGTCCTTAAATAAAATAAAAATAAAAATAAAAAATAAAATAAAAAAGCAAAACAATGCCTTATGGTGTCATCTTAGGCAAGTTTCGCAGCTTATCCATGAAGATCACAAAACTCTTATAATTAAATGTGCCAGAAGAACCATTTTGG